ATTATCCAGGTATGTATACATATTTTTTTCTTTAACTATTTATTAATTTCAAACTTTTTTTTTGTAAATCTAATAACAAAATTATATTTATTAATCAAGATAATATACATTAATAATGCCATTTTTTATGACATTATACCTATATTAACACTTTTATTATCATGCATAAATTTAATAATTTGTATTATTAGAATAATTGGAAGATTATATAATTTTTACAAACCAAAAAATCATAAATATGAAGAAATATTTACAGGAAATTCTAATTATGATTATAGTAATATAATTGATAAAGATGATGAAAATATTGGTAGATTAATTGATGAATGTGTTTTTTAAATTATATTATAATAAAAATTTTTTTAAAAGAATTTTCTGATTGATATGTTTTAATAATTATATAATTTATTTTAAATTGTATTATATATCATATTATGTAAATATCACAAAAATAAATGTAATATAAATTTGAATTGATACTATTTTAAGAAAGTTATATATATAAATATAATAATAATTCATATATTTAAATGTATTTTATTATTAGATTTAAAAATAATTAATATATCTTTTTAAATAATTAAATCATTCATAATTTTATTATTTTTTAAAGATTAATTTTATAAGATTCTTCTTTTATATAAACTTTGTATAACTATTTAATCAATCATATTATAAATTCTTTTTAAATTTTTATATAAATTTTATTTTATTCCTTTTAATAATATCTAAAGATCAATAAGTATTATAAAATACTTAAAGTTCTTTTAATTTTATTTTACTAAATTTGAATATATACTAATATTAAATGATTTAATTATAAAAATTGAAATAGATATTTAATCAATTTTAAAAAAATACTCTAACATTTTTACATAATAGAAACTTCACTAAATCATTATTAATCCTAATTTTTGATACAATATTAGAAAACCTTTAGATAATTTTATAAAATAAAATTTTGCTAAAGCAAATTTAATTTTAACAAAGCTTTTCAGATTTACTTTTATCAAAACATAAATTTACCTAATTAAGTTTTTATAAAAAGTTTTAAGTAATTCAGACTTAAAGTGAAAAATTATTATTATATTAAATTTATCAAATTAATAATAAATTTAAAAAGATTTGAATTGATTATTTTATTAATAATTATAATATTAAGATAATAAATTATCAATTCTAATATCATATTTAATATTTTTATTTACCTTATATATTTGATAATTTTAAAAAAATGTAAAAAATTTATAATAAATATACATTATTTACTTTATATATTAATTAAAAAAAATTAGATAATTTAAACCTGTAATAATTTAAATGTATTAATATTTTAAATATAAAGATTATTTAAGTTATACATATCTTAAATGCTAATTTATCTTAAATGAAAATTTTAATAATATTTTAAATATTCACTTCAGATTATCTTAAATAACTAATTAATATATTCTTATAGTAATTTAAATATGTTGATATTTGAAATATGTATTTAAAATATTTAAAATATAAGATAATTTAAAATATATATTTATTCTAAATATGTTGTGACAGGTGAAATTTTAGGTAGATTTAATTGGTAAACTAGAAAGACAATTTTATTATCATGTAGATCTTTAAGAAGATCATTTTTGTCCATTTTATTATCATTGATTATCATGTAAATCCCTAAATAATTTTATTACCCTTGATAATTACGTATATCATAGATATTTATTTAGTTACCTGCAGATCTGGCAATTTTATTGATACGGCAATTTTATTTCCTTTGATATATTTAATTTAATTTATTTTATTAATTATTCAACATATATAAATATTTCTGTATTTTCTTTAAGTTTTAATACCAACGAGATGTTAATCTTTTAGGTACTAAACTTATATATTATATTAATAAAGGAGTATAATTAAACTAGTATAAAATTTATCTTCGTAAACCCTTTGAAACTGTTATTATTTATAGCCCTTTGCATTCATTTGCAATCCTCATAGTTATTATTTGCAAATTTATTGTATAATATTATATTAAAGCTTCGAATGGTTCAGATTAATCCAAAAATTTTTAGTTCAGATCAACTTCGATTCAGTTTCAGATTGCAAAAATTCAATCTGAAAATTTTCGATTCAATTCAGATTTTTCAAATTATAAATCTAATATA